TGTGTGTGTGTGTGTCTCTCTCTCTCTCTCTGTGTGTGTGTGTCTCTGTGCTGAAGGTGTTCACGGTGGAGGAGATGATGCCTCACGTGGCTCATCTGAGCGGCGCCGTCACTAAAAACCTCTTCCTGAAGGACAAGAAGAAGAAGAGCCTGTGGCTGCTGTCTGTGCGTCACGACCGGCAGCTGAACCTGAGTGATGTGGCCAAGCGTCTGGGGCTCGGCTCAGGGAACCTGCGTCTGGCGGACGAGTCGCTGATGCTGGAGAAGCTGAAGGTGGGTCAGGGCTGCGCCACGGCCCTCGCGCTCTTCTGCGACACCGCCCGCTGCGTCAGGATGGTGCTGGACCGCGACCTGACCCACGGCGGCCGCCAGAGAGTCTACTTCCACCCCATGACCAACAGCGCCACCATGGGGCTCAACCCAGGCGACCTGCTCCGCTTCCTGCAGGAGACCGGCCACGAGCCCGTCGTCCTGAGCTTCGACTGAGGTCACGCTCTTTAACTGGCAGCTCACACGCTTCTGACCTTCACTTCCTCACCGTCTCTGCCTTGAGACTTTACCGTATGACCCACAATAACCTCACAGTTCTAACACATGGACACACTCTCCTTCTGATTGTAGTTGTGTAATGGATGAGAATAAGACAGTCATCATGAAGTTTATCACATCGATTTAATTTATGAAAAGAGGAATGAGGCGGCATGTGGTGTTCACACAGGAGTAACACTGTCTTTTGGCGCACTCTCTCACACACACACTCACTCACACACTCTCACACACACACACACTCTCTCTCTCTCACACACACACTCACACACACGATCTGTCTTCATGTGTTGGTGTTTGGGGCTTCTCCTCAGGTCTTCAGGGGTGGTGGCTCTTCTGCAGGTCACAGGAGTGTATGAGTGTATGAGCAGCACACATGCAGGGATGTGGAGCATCTGTGATGCTGAGCTCCACAGATTCATCAGCTTTCTCTAAGAGTCCCTCTGCTTCCTTGATTCAAGGAAAAGGGCATATTTTTTCTCTTGTTTTCATTGCTGAGGGGTTCATGATTACAAAAGCGAGAGAAATGGCAGGATCTTGTAGGATTGTGCCGCTCTTCAGACGAAGCTCCTCTCTGATGGAGAACAAGAGATGACAACACTTAGAGGAGAAACACAGATCAATCTCAGGAAACACTGCTGTGTGTGTCTCACCACTATCCACTCGTGCTCATTCTTGTGTGATTTTAATAAAATATGTCATCTTTACACATAGGCTTTTTTCCATTACTGTGAGTTTCATGATGGAGAACTGATCAGAGTTCTGTTTTTACTCTTTCTGCTACAACTTTTCTGAATGGAAATATATATATATATATGGAACAGTATTTAATGTTAATTTCTGTGTGATAATCTTACACAGTACTACTATCCTCGTGTGATGAATCGTTCAATTTAAAGGCATCATATTAGTGAAGCTGATTTGTGTTTAAGTGCAGTCTGATCTCGTCCTCTGCTGCCAGGACAGTAAAACATGAACATAGCTATATCTCACATCACCCTGGCTGTTAAAGGCTCATGGGTCATCTCCCCTGCATGTTCACTGGTTATTGCATTTAACTGCCTACACTGAACTCTCGTCACGCTTTCACCGGCTGTGTGGTGTTTCTGAACTCTGTCCTGCTCTTTATCAGGATTTCATTAACTTCACACTCGTATCAAGCTCAATCGTTTATCATAGTGGCATTGCTGTGTGAAAACACACACACACACACACACAGACATGATTCGGAAAGGTTAAATCATCCTGAATATAGTCACACTTGTGCTGTTCGCAGTCAAAAATGACCACACGGGAAACGTACTGAAATCTCACTGAAAAGCTTTTTTTTTTTTAGATATCAACCTCAAATTTGGAGCACAACTTTAGATTTATGGCTTTGGTTTTTCTAACAGTTTTAGAGTAAAACACGTTTTGGAAAATATATTTTTTGAAATGTTGAAAATAGTATTTTTGTTAATTTTTCATAATGAACTTAAACTTCTTCTTTTTTTCACTTCAGCAATAATCCACCAAGCGTCTTCTTTAAAAAGAGACCAAACTTAAGTCCGTTCTCCAAAGCATTCAAGATTTGCCACAGCTGGAAATGATATTTTCACGTCCGTGCTCTAAAAGTGGTTAATAGGTAATGAATGGATTGTAGCTACTGCATAAATGTCATTTAGTACCATAAAATCCCCTAAAAATACAAAATATGAAATAAAAAACATTGAACTAATAAAGTATATCCATTTAATTGAAAACTCTATTAAATCCATTTTTGAGCTCTGCGTGGATCAGAGAATACAGCTCAGCGGTGCACTCCCCAAAACACACAGCTGTACCAATCAGTGGTGCCAATTACTAACTGATGCTTCTAATGAAGTGATTAAAAGCAGTTGCAAATGTTTTATAATATACTCATCTCTGCACCAAAAAAAAAGAGCAACACTTTGTTTTACTACCAAATTAAATGTAATGTTTAACTATAATCAGTATTTAACTTACACTGGAAAACAAAATGTCTTGATTTATTTCCAGCACATGATGCGTGATGAGATGTTTAGCCTGGCATGCCGCTCTGGAGTGTGGATCTAGCGTGTGTTAAGGGCACTGGGGACGGTCCTGCACACTTCTATCCTGTTGCGTGCACATGCTCTCAAGTGGCCAAGAGCACAAGTGTGGGTATTTGGCCAGACCCTGTGTTTATCACTGCAGCCCAGAGAACACCAAAGGGGAGGAGCTTACACCATGAGTAGGCGGAGCCTCAGGTCAGTGGGGTTAGAGCTAAAGCCCCGCCCATCTCAGAGCCGTCAGTGGGCTCATCCCATAGGCCCTGCCCCAAATCTCACCCTAACCCCTCGCGCTCTTCCACATTGTCGTGACTGTCGGGCCGAGGCCTAGCGTGGAGCTCGTCTCGGCGCACATTAGTGGCCACTTGTCAGCACCCTGCTGAAAGCTAAAACGGGTGCCAACTTTCAAGTTCAGCTTGCAGTGAGGGGGGGGGGTTTAGATCTCGATCTCAATGCACATGTATATACTGTATAAGGGGATACTAATCTTCTGTTGAGTGCAGCTGAAAGCACCATTTTAAATTTTTCTTGGGTTGAATTCAGTATTTTCTTGTTTTCATTCATATTCACTTATACGAGTATCATTAAACAACTATGTAATTTATTAACTTTTTAAATTTCACATTTAAAAAAACCTATAGTGTTTAATCATGTCTAAATATTCAATTATTCAAATGCAAAACTTAAAAATAAGCAAGCAGGTATGCCTTCAATACTCTTGAGAAACTAGACTAGTAGACACAAGTTTATTTATTAAAGAGCATACGGGTACCTAGTGGCTAAACCATGGCATTACAAACAAAAATGATCAAAATTACCGCAAAATGACTCTAATTTGCCTCTTTGCATTGGAATTTAAAACCAATTTCTCTATTTTAACCTTAAATAGACCTACTACACTAATTGTAATATAAGTAATAGAAATATTAGAAACAAATATTTGAAGTGGTCATTAATGGACCATAATTATTGCACAAATAGTATTTAGTACCAAACGATCTCCTAAAAATATTAAATAAATATTACTGAACTAAAGTATAGAACATTTATCTAACTGAAAAAATAGTTAAGGTGTATGGTCACACTGTAAGTCAGGAATACCTGAGGGTTCAATACAAGAGAAACGTATTAATGTTGCCTCTCCAGAATAAACTGATACTGTAAATGTCATGGACCTAATAATCAATGCATAATATGCTGTAATGTTTACCACAGGCTGCTGCAGATACCTGCAGAGAGAAGCTGTTAAACCCGTTCAGATGCAGACAGCGCTACTGAGAGCTACTGAACCACGTGACCAGATCAAAGCTCTGATGTTCAATGCTCTGGCTTTAACTGAGGCGCTACAACCAATCACGTCATATTAAGTGCGCCAAAACGGGATTTATTGTTTGAATTTCGTATTCAAACTTACAACATTTGAAAGCCGAGACTTTGTTTCATATCACAAGCAGGGTTGCCACTTTGGCGGGAGATTTACAAGAGCAGCGTGAGAGCGAGACGGAGCCTGGAAGCTGTAGCTCACGCCAAATGCGTGCGAGTTGGCAACCCTGGCTAAACCACACACGTGACACCCTACAGCCACTGTACCTCCACACGACCCCAAGTGCTCATGCAGTGTGTTTAGGGCAGGGCCACAGACTGTTTGAAAAGATGGACAACACGTCTCTGTTTCCTTCCACTGTAGAAAATCAAGCCGAAATGTTCCAGAAACTCGCCTGAACATGTACGCATGATTAGAACTGTGTAAAACGACATTTTAAACGTTTCAAATGCTTTTTTAAAAATAAAAACTGGGAAAGTGTGACTGTCTTTGGTCTGATTAGAAGGGTTAGGGTTAGGGTTTCCTTTAGCCTGTGTTGTGTCTGATGTGAGGTTTAGCTGAGCTCAGCTCATTTAGTAGCTATGTTTCCATCCAAAGCTGTGAATTTCACTTGTGCGCAAAACTGGAATATCGCATAAAACATTTGCGAACAAGCATCGTTTCCTTCCAACGAGTCAAAGAGAACTAAATCGTCACTTCCTGATAAACTGGCACTATACATCACTAAGAAAAGTAGGAGAATATAATAATTTTCATATATAATAATTGATTTGCGGCTCAGAGCGAGCAGACGAAACACTGAATTATTCCTATCAGAGGTGGATGCTGCTGTTTGGGAACGCAGTCGTGTAAACAGTTCAGGGAGCCAATTATACAGAAATACTTTGATGACAGACTTTGCTCGTGCATTTCTGAATGACCAAAACAACACTTCAGATGCTGTGAATGAGATCGGTCCGCTGGTTAGTCAGGTTTTGCCGTCCCATAGCGCAGTCACAGGACTGTTTGAGTCGCTTGGAGGAATTTATTCGCAAAATGCTTTTCCATCTCCCATTACTGGCTTCAACCCTTTTTCTCACAAGTCAAAAACCACCTCAAGCGAGCGTAAAAACTTTTTTGTGAATTAAGGGATTTTTATTTGGCGTTTCCATCCCTCCCAGCAAGCAATAGCCGTCATTTCACCGTCTCGGTTAACTATAGGCCCGAATCCCGATATAGTCCGGCTGTGTAACCCACTTCTAGCCCAAATAACCTTGAATTTGTAGTTGATAGTGACCCGTGACTAGCCCACGGTTCAGCACGCATGCGTTCAGAGGATTAATGGCTAAATTTAATAGAGTAAAAGTTTTATCATTTGTATGTGTTTACAAACTCAATTGATTTTAAAACAGCGCAAGAGCAAACAACAGAAGCTTTGACAAAGATGAATCCACATTAATTTATACAGTGAACACACTCAGAAGAACTGGAGAAACTGAGGAGTTTCAACATCTGGAAAAGATCCGCAGCAATGGTAAAAAAAACAAAACAACCCTCTCCAAAACAACATTTCCTCACTAAAGCTCTCATCTTTGACAAAGTCCATCATTTATTTTAATTATTATATTGAATTTATGACTGAACAATGGCTTGTTAGATACAGAGAGCGCATGAGCTAATTGAATAGAATATCTTTGTCATTGTACAAGTAACGTTACAATAAGATTTATTTTGAAACTTCCAAATTGATAGTAAAGCTTAAGAATACAAATAATAAGTGCTGGGCTATGATTAGACGTCTATTAGATTTTCACTGACAGCCCAAATTTAGCCTTGTTTTAGCCTAGACGTCTAGGCTATATTTAGACGGTTAAGAGACCTCTTTTAAACTGACTATTGCTTGCTGGGTCGTTTCTGACACATGCAGCGCTGACCGCGTCTGACGGTCATTACTCTGTCTGAAAGGATTCATGTTTGTGTGAAAAACGGGTTCTTCAGAATATCATTTCTGATGAGCCTGAACATCCAGTCTTTCCTCTTCATTTGACTGTGATGGTGTAAAAAGCACTTCTGAATGGTTTGTTTGGTTCATTTGGTCACTGGTCAGACAGGAGTGTCCGTTTCATTAAAACATACACTATCATTCAATCAACTGGGGTCAGACTTAAGAAACAGTTTTGAAAGAAGTCTCTTCTTCTACAAGACTGTATTTATGGGATCAAAATACAGTAACTACAATAATATCTGTTAAACTGTAATGTATTTCTGTGATGTGCAGCTGTATTTTCAGCATCATTACTCCAGTCTTCAGTGTCACATGATCTTCAGAAATCATAATAATATGCTGATTTGCTGCTCAACAAACATCTGAAGGTCTTTTTCTTTTCCCACCTCTCCTGCTCTCCTCCTTTACCTTTCAGATGACAAACGAAGTGTAAGTCCACAATCCCTGAGGCCCACATCAACCAGACACACACACACACACACACACACACACACAGTGTACTGTCCTTCAAAAGTTATGAGTCAGTAAGATTTTGCCCACCAAGGCTTCATTTATTTGATTAAAAATACAATAAAAACGGTAAAATTCTAAAATATCATTACAATTTACAATAAATGTTTTCAATATGAGTATCTGTTAAACTGTAATGTATTTATGTGATGCGCAGCTGTATTTTCAGCATCATTACTCCAGTCTTCAGTGTCACATGATCTTCAGAAATCATAATAATATGCTGATTTGCTGCTCAAGAAACATTTCTGATTATTATCAATGTTGAAAACAGTTGTGCTGCACAATGTTTTTGTGGAAACTGTAATGCATTTTATTTTTCAGGATTCACAGATGAACAAAGTTCAGAAGAACAGCATTTATTTGAAATAGAAATCTGCTGTGACATTTACTGTCACTTTAGATCAGTTTAATGCATCCTTGATTAATAAAAGGGTTAATTTCTTTAAAAACAGGTTTTTAATTTAAATGGCTGGGCAGGCTGGACAGCTCGGGCTCCTGTACGCGGCAGGGCATGCTAGTGGACTTGTGTAGGGCCTGGGGAGCGGGGCCGTACTCACTGGAGGGCGCGGGGTCCACCAGCACGGGCTGCCGGCTGTCCTTGGAGAGCAGCTCGTGGATGCTGCTGCGGCGCACGGAGCCCTCGGCGGTGGAGATGACGCTGCTGGCGCGGGGCAGGCCTGAGGACGAGTCCAGACGCTCCGGCACACACAGAGACGACGCGGAGCCCTTGGCACGGCTGCTCTCGGCCCGGCGCAGGCTGGGACGTCCCGGTGGACCGGCTCGTGCACCGCTGGCCGAGCGTAAGATACCACGGCTCTTCACTCGCTCTCTGGACGCCTGCGGCGCGGCTCCGGACACACCAGACGACTGTGCTGACAGAACGTCCTGCGCAGGACAAGACAAACACAAGTGTCTGTTTATATCTGACTATCATCAACACAACTACTGCATCGCTGCCAGGACAGGAACATGTCAACGAGACGTCTGTGACACGCTGGACAGTAGGGCTGGGAAAATAAATCGATGCATTGTGATTCTGAGATTTTCCGAATGCATCGTGATTCTTTCTCGAGTGGATTCTGAGCTTAGTTGTGAACAGCAGATGGCGCTGCATGCTTTAGAAACAGCCGTACTCTGCTTGTTTCCATAAACACTTGAACCTAAAATAATCATCATAAAATTCGGAAAGGTTGAAGCGAATTACAAAGGTGCTCACAGTGAGCTGTGTTTACATTAATCTGGGGTCATAAAAGCATTCTGAGCCGAGGTGAAATTACAGACTCTTCAGCTCTTCTTCATGAGCGTTTGAGTGTGCGGATAAAAACTAGAGTAGAGCGCCATCTGCTGTTAAAATATAAGCTCAGAATCCATTCCAGAGAGAATCACCATGCATTCGGAAAATCTCAGAATCGATCCACGAATCAATTCTGCATCGATTTATCATCCCAGCCCTACTGAACAGTACTGATTTCTTAGCGACCCAATCTTTTGAATGGTAGTGCAGTCGTCACAGTGACGCTTGTGACCATTCAAAAGACTACAGTCGCTAAGAAATCAATACTTTTATTCATCAAGGCTGCATTAAACTGATCTAAAGTGACAGTAAAGACATTTATAATGTTACAAAAGATTTCTATTTCAAATAAACGCTGTTCTTTTCTATTCATCTGTGAATCCTGAAAAATAAAACGCATCACAGTTTCAACAAAAATATTGTGCAGCACAACTGTTTTCAACATTGATAATAAATCAGCATATTAGAATGATTTCTGAAGATCATGTGACACTGAAGACTGGAGTAATGATGCTGAAAATACAGCTTTGACATTTTAAAACATATTCTCATAGGAAACAGCTGTTTTAAATTGTAATAATATTTCACTCTTTTACTGTATTTTTGATCAAATAAATGTAGCCTTGGTGAGCAGAAGAGATTCTGAAATCTTTCCGGCCCCAAACCTTTGATCGGTAGTGTTTGCGGGCTGAGTTTACGCCTGTGAACCCATGGGACTGATTTCAGAGGAGCTCATCTCTAAGTGCACACAAAAACAGACCACACTGGACCGGTTGGTCTCCTCCTGTCTGAGTGGACAGTTCTTGACCCCGGGGAACAGTGTTAAGAGGTGTGTTTAGTGTGTGATGTACGTGAGCATCACCTCTGCTGGCTCTGTGCTCTCCTCCAGGAACTGCTGCAGGGAAACCACCTCGCGTCCTGCAGATCTGTCCTCCAGAGCGCTGTGCTGCGCTGACGTCTGTCTCAGGGGACTGTCCAGACGCACAGTGACGTCACCGCTGCTCCCGCTGCCGTTCATCACACCTGAGAGACACACACTCAGCTGCTTCCTGACTGCATTCGGCACATTTAAATATCACTCTGTTTGTATGAATACTCCCACATGTTTGAAAAAAAATTTAAAAATAAAATGTGTTGATTATTGTTCCAACATGTGTAGACGGCCTTCATTACACAACACAATTATGTAATTTTGAATTGCACGCAGTGTTAATTTTGACAGCAAATTTTGATTTAGTTTTAGTCATAGTCTTTTGACTAAAATGCCATTTAGTTTTAGTCATATTTTAGTCACCTTAATTGTTTTTAGTTTTAGTCGACTGAATATCATAAGATTTGTGTCGACTACATCTACAGTAAATTTAGTCGGCTAAAATCTAGTAGTAGTAGTAACTTTATTTATCCCCTTGGGGAAATTTTGTTTCAGTGTCTTGTTTCAATATGCCGTTCTCACAAACGACAAAACAACATAAATTTCACAGTAGAAACAATACAATTTAACATCAATTAATCAAGAAGTGCTAATTACTGAATGAGACCTGCTCATTACATAAAAATAAAAATAAAAGGGGAGAGGGGAGGAGAAGAAAAAAAAAAAAAAAAAAATCTTTCTTTCCTATCTTTCATTTAAGAACTTCACTGCCTGTGTCTGAATGATTCACTGACTGACTCTCACTGTAACTTAAATGCAGGTTTGAGGCTGTTTTATGAATTTTTTTAACTGACTCCTTAAAAAGAACGAGTGCATAAGTGTTTGTGAATCAGACATCACGGCTCACACGTTGGTTGTTGTTGCGTGCAGGAAACACTGGCGCATAACCTAATGATATCTGTGAAACATAAGGACGTTCCCAACTGTTGTAATAATGACTAGATTACAAAGTATTATTGCACATTTTTGTTTTGTCGTGCACATTTTACTCGCCGTCTGGAGCAGGATCACAGTGAAATCAATATTTAGTCTAAGCAATGAATTTATTTAGAGAATCTACACGCTGTTAACTAGACAGCCATCTAAGTGATGCAACATGAAAGCTCTGAGAGCTGGAGCGTGATCAGTCAGAGCAGCAGATGACATCACAGCGGGACAGACGCTCGCGCCAGAGACCAGAGCCACGAGAGCGGTTTACTCACCCTGAGCTCGCAGCACACTGCACTCCTCCGACGACAACTGAGTGATGTCATCACTGGACACGGCATTGCCTACAGACCAGACCGCAGCACATGCTCAGCAACACAAAATGCAGTTCTATTTGATCACATGTGTCCCTGTATCCTGCAGCGAATGTACCTGTATCGGAGCGGTGGCGAGCTCTGCGGCCGCGGGTCAGGGTCAGAGTCAGGCTGGTGTAGTCCATGGATCCAAACTCCTTCCCGTGCTGAGCGCCGATGGCCTCGTCAGGAGCTTCGAGATGATCCGTGCTGCTGGACCACTGACCCTCAGACAGAGCCATCGTCTGCAGCAGGTCGTTCATGGCTGAGACAGACACACGCACACACTGGATTAACGTGCTAAAGGTCCGCTGCGAGATGCATGCGCTCAATATGAGTGAACACACAGGAGAAAAGAAAGAGATGTGAAGAAAGACAGCAAGGCTGAATGCAAGAGATCAGTGGAAACACAACAGACATTAATACAACCTCACAAGTCCTCATGATACTATGAAAGCAGCATAAGGTCTGTGGAGACACACTCATCCGTCAGACACATGAACAGTTTATACACTAACAATGGACGTCTAGCAGGCAGTGCAACCACCACCTCAATAGTGTGTCAGTTCAACAGTGTGTTTACTAACTCAGTATATGTGTGATGGAGTTCATAAACTCAGCCATTTTTCTAAACTCACACTTGTCTGTTGTCCATGATTGTAGTTCTTTAAAGGGGTCATGAACTACCTTTTTTTATTATTTTGTGCTGTTCTCTGAGGTACACTTATAATGTAATGATGTCCACTTATAATAATATATCGTTTGTTTCTGCATTTGCCTCTTTCGTAATTTCACTACATACGCGAATCAGTGGGCGGGGCTAAACAGGCAATGATGTAGAACTGGTGGGCGGGGCTAAACAGGCAGCGATGTAGAACCGGCGGGCGAGGCTAAACAGACAGTGATGTAGAATCGGCGGGCACAAAGAGTGAAAAATTTAAGGGGGTCTGAATACTTTCCGTACCCACTGTATATATTTAAAAAGCCAACGTACTACAAACACAAAACAAACACAATAAACGCCGCACGTAAAAAAAACACACTGCAGGTCGCCACAGTGCAGCGCCCCGGAAGCATGTTGACGTTGTTTAACATCGTCATGGGTTTAGTTACAGTGTAATGCATTTATTAAGCATTTCTCCAAAATTTCCAAACTCATTGTATAAGTTTGATATTAAGGTTTTATCATGATAGACACTGATTTAACTGAGGTGACACACAACATGCCTTTATGTTAAAATTAAATTAAACCACTTCTCATAAAGAACAACCGGTTCATATGTACACATCTAACCTCCGAACCACACAGCAGATTCCTTCTGAATGAATCTCTTCCCAAATTGTCCCTCCCTAACATTTTCTCTCGTTTTTATTCGTTGACGAAAATGTCAATAGATTTACGTCATAGTTTTTGTCATTCAAAGAGTTTTAGTTCGTTATCGTCGGTGAAAAAAATGCCGTTGACGAAAATTATTTGTCTACGAAATTAACACTGATTGCACATTGTCATATGAGTAACGAGTCAGCGAGTCAGTAACGGCTCTGAATGATTCACTGACTGACTCTCATTGTAACTTAAATGCAGGTTTGAGGCTGTTTTATAAA